GTAGGAAGGAACGATCGGCCATCGGTGATCGATCCTGTGGGAACAGCGCTCCGTCCCAATGTCTATCCGCTAAAGCATGCAAAAGGTATGAGTACGCCCTCCCCCACCCGAACCTCCCAACCGTCCCGTGGGAAGCACCAATTGTTGAGGGTGAGCAAACAACTCGTAGAACAAGCGTCCTGTCCATGTTCCCTGCTCACGAGACAGTGGGGGTCGCCACAGGGATGCCCCAACCGTCCCATGGGAAGCACCCATAGTGTCAGGACCCGATGCCATTTCGCTCATTTTTCCATTCGTATCAGAACCAAACCCCCAAAACACCCACCCAGTGGTTTTGTAGCGGTCTACCTGCAGGCGTGTTGCGAACTCGAATCGCGACATACCTTGTATTCTTCCTTTGCCTGAAAACAAGCAACTTCACTTCGACGCGTACAGCGCAAACAGTCATAGGGCCAATACGTCTTTATACGATGCTCTCCATATCACAAATCTCTCCTCTAACATCAACCAAAAAAAACAAACACATAGATGCATACATCCATGGCGCTTGTGAGGTTTTCTCCGTAGCTTCTAATGACTATATTTTCCCCAAAAACGAAACAAAGAAACATAAAATTGTGGTTGGTGAGGATTTAGTGTAAACAACCCTATCCGCCGATCTCGACCCCACGCCCGGTACACACATCTTGAATATACTGGAAGACAATCAATCGCTACGCCGATGAAGACCCCCAGAGTATGCGCTACATCGTCACCAAAGCGTCCACGAACCACGAAAAAAGCACATGGCGGCAAGTGTAACCCTAAAGATACTTACAAATACCGACGAGGGTGAGGTATGTAGCTCGAGCGAACACATCCTATAGATGCGCACAAGGGGAATGGACGTAGGGCGTCATCTGAGGAAGACCAAGAGGGGTGGGCGCTCCGACCCCTCGATGGCTGTTTCTATTTACCAATATGTAGCCACACAGAGAGACCCAATGTTTTTGGGAAGAAATAATGGTAGATCCCAAACAAACCCAAGTACGAGCCCCTGAGCTGGTTGGTGTTGGCAACTTCTTCGAAACATGCCTTTGGGCGAAGGATTTAAGCGACGTGACGACACCAGAAAACATTGAAATTACCCTATGTACTGCCTTCNCGAGGGTGAGGTATGTAGCTCGAGCGAACACATCCTATAGATGCGCACAAGGGGAATGGACGTAGGGCGTCATCTGAGGAAGACCAAGAGGGGTGGGCGCTCCGACCCCTCGATGGCTGTTTCTATTTACCAATATGTAGCCACACAGAGAGACCCAATGTTTTTGGGAAGAAATAATGGTAGATCCCAAACAAACCCAAGTACGAGCCCCTGAGCTGGTTGGTGTTGGCAACTTCTTCGAAACATGCCTTTGGGCGAAGGATTTAAGCGACGTGACGACACCAGAAAACATTGAAATTACCCTATGTACTGCAATCTACAGTAGTCTGCGTTTCTTTGCTGCCGATATTTTGATATTTTGGACCTCCTGTAGACGTCCTGAAAGAATCACCTAGAGCGGGGCGCGAAATGGACACCCGAGAAGTGCACGTAACCTCTCCCGTGGAGCTTGTTCTCAACACCACGCTGAGCCCCCCAAATCTACGCACGCAGTTGCTAGGTTGATTTGCCACAGACTTNGCGGGGCGCGAAATGGACACCCGAGAAGTGCACGTAACCTCTCCCGTGGATCTTGTTCTCAACACCACGCTGAGCCCCCCAAATCTACGCACGCAGTTGCGAGGTTGATTTGCCACAGACTCGCTGCGCGGATTCGCAACCTTGACAATCATCGTCCGCGTTCTAGCCCATCCCATTGACGATGACGGGGACTCGCCTCACCCTCAACATGGTGGTGGCCACCTATCATTCTCTTCCACTTGCGTTGACAGTGAGTGTGGCCTTCGACATATTCGGGACGCCAGCACATGCTTACTTCTCTCTGTTCCATCTATGCGGCGGCGGCGTGGGGGCAGAGGCGAGCGTGGGAAGCCTTTTCGAGCCTGTCGAACAGTCGATTTACCCCGTACAGGAGCGCCGGCATCTGTGGGGAACCCGGCGGAGTGCAAGGCATGCTGGCTTTAATAACGGCTCGACTCTTCTTGACACCAACACGTTGATCACGTTCGACTGCACGAAGAACAGTCTTTCCGCGAGGTCATCTTTATCAAAGACCCACACAGAGACAGGAGCGAGTATGGACGACGACGCCGATACAGTCAACAACCGCAGTGTTGTTTGTTTGTGGTACTTGGATATGAGTCCGATGTGTGCATCCTCTGTGGGGGATACGCGTATGGGAAGTGTGGGTGTGATGGGTATGTATGCGGTTGGGGTCCAAGTGCGGTCCCCCCGGATGATCACACGGCGGTGTGCTCCCGGCACTTGCCTGAGGGGCTTGCGTGTTGGTGACCAGCTTGCCTGAGGGGCTTACGTGACGAGAAATATATATGGTCCTTTTCTTCATCTGCTGTTCCTGGGATAACATGGTACCCAGTCCCAACACCACAGACCGCTGAGGGCGGAAGTGCACACAAAAATGGTTCACAACGGAATCGGAACTTCAATACCAACTATGGCGAAGAGCATGGGGACGGCTCAACGCGTACTCACCAGAATCAACACCGTGAACTGGACAGGGTGCGGCAGCCCGTACCACGTGCACATGAACCTTGATGAAAACTCGAGGAGCCCTGCAAGGTACACAAATTTATATATATGCAACGCCGCCAACAGCAAAAAGCGCCGTCCGTGGGGTAGAGAGACCAATATTCATCCATGTGCGGCGGGCCCGAAACAAGACAGGCCGCACACCAACCACAACGCTGCGCTCTCTGTAGACGGTGTGCCTAGGTCATGGGACGTCCAAAGTACGATATACCCAACCACCATCGCCATAGTTGTGCCACACTCACTGTCGGCTTCCACTAGGACCATGTTCAACGCGGAGGTCGCGAAGACCAGCGTGTGACAACTGTGATGGCACACGACAGACGACGAGTAGGTGCAGAGAGAGAGAGAGCCCACGTCAACATATGACGACAAGGACGCATAGCCCGTGGGCATTACTGCATGGAAATGGAGTCTTTGGTCGGGGGACGCCCTGACGGCAGGAAATCCCAACGCAGGCGGCAAACATGCGGCAAAGGGAGGTGTTCGACCAGCTTGAGGGCGGAGTACTGGCCTATCTTCACACACAACAACGGAGGCGTCCTTTGCTACGGATGCCCTCAAACACCATCCATTGCCCCCCCCCCCGTTGTAACGGTAACATCAAATAGGGTCGCGCTGCCGGAATCCCCCACCAGCAGCTAGCTTTGTGTCGATCCGTCCACCCTGAAGAAAGGCCCATGGTGACCCTTCACAAGAGATAAACTGTAAAGTTGCAACGACCGTTCCATAGTCTAACAAGTCCGGACGTAGATATATGGCATTTTCNCGGATGCCCTCAAACACCATCCATTGCCCCCCCCCCCGTTGTAACGGTAATGTCAAACAGGGTCGCGCTGCCGGAATCCCCCACCGGCAGCTAGCTTTGTGTCGATCCGTTCACCCTGAAGAAAGGCCCATGGTGACCCTGCACAAGAGTTAATCTGTAAAGTTGCAACGACCGCTCCATAGTCTAACAAGTCCGGACGTAGATATATGGCATTTTTCCCCCCAGATACGATCCGATTCGCAACGGGTCGATCGCAAGATTTAGAGCCTGGCTCACTCAGTCCTGTGTTTTCGTGGGCCATCAGTTCTCTTTCAGGTCCCACAGATCGTGTTCTTATGGTGACTCTTTTCGCATGCCTCTAGAGTCTCGAACCATAGCAGCAGTAATAGATGGCGGTAAAACGTCCTCGCAACCCACCAGACTTGTCATGAATCTTGGTATTAACAAGTAGCATCAACAATTTCCGGCTTCAGGGAACAAACCGGTGGTGCTAATGGACGCCAACGCACGCACTGGTAGGAGGCGAGACGGGTGCTGCGATGCCAAGATTATGGGCGCGTACGGACGCGACATTATGAACAACAACGGGGAACGACTCCTTGGACTGGCATCAGACAACCAACTCTCCCTGACCAACACCTACTTCCGGACACCGAAAGGTGGAGTGCAGCACACCTTCCAGAGCTCCAACAAGGGGAAGGAGAAGTACCGCCTCGACTTCATCCTCATGCATTAGACGGACCGGCGTTTCGTGCGTAATGTCTCTGTCATACGTGTCGACTCAAGAGACTCTGACCACAACCTCGTGCTTACGATTGTCCACCTCTCCCCCCGTGTCGCACCCAACCGACGAGTGCGGGGGAACAGCGGAAGCAGCCGGATCCGTATCGACCTCGAGCGGTTGAGGAAGGACAAACACCTACGGGTCGCCTTCCAAAACAGGGCCTCCAGCCGCCCTCCGCCCACGGCGCTCAGGCGACCAACGGGAGAGACCGCCGCCGAGCTGACGGCTACGGTGATGTCGGCCGCTGCTGAGACCGCGCCGCTAGCGAGGTGCGCACGAGGGCAGATTGGCTGGTGCATGAGCGAAGCGCAGCACGAGATCTCCGAAGCGTCTAAGGATGTTAAGGCGGCCCAGCAGCAACTGCGTGGGGCCTCAAAGAACAGCGCCATTGAGGCGACCCTGAAGGCGATGCTCAAGGCGGCGCGGAAGAAGCGCAGCATCGCGAGGTGGA